TCATCATCTCTGATATGTGGGCATCATACCAAGGAATTGAAACGATGATTGACATGAATTATAGTCATGTTCCAATTTCACCCTCTTCAATAAAAACTAAAAGTATGAATTTCATATCCTCTTTTTTCTAATCTTTTTTGGGTGGCGTGCGTTAATTTTTTGCTGGGCTTATCTGGAAAAGATCCCACAAAAGAACTGTTTCTAAGTGACTATGTATCCTCTCATAGACAGTCACCAGTTTCCATGAATGTAGCAGAGAAATAGTTCCTTCGGTCAGTTTCGATTTTTCGCAATAAAGCTCCTCTGTCCCTTTTTGGTGAGTCTTTTTCCGACACTAAGCCACTGGAGCGAGATCAGCAGTTAGCTACAACAATACTCGATGGTACTGTCACCTGTAACTTGAAAAGTCCGTTTTCGAATGCAACAGACAATTCATAAGCTGACGACTCCGCCCTAAAAGGACAAAGGGCTAATTCTTCCTCATACTTGTGCCCAAGTAACTTCCCAGTTCCTCACAGTCACCCTTATCACCGAGGCCCATCCACAAGCCATTGTTTTTACTTGGCTTTGTGCTTTTTATTCTGATTCTAGAACGTCAGCTGGTTTGCTTCTAACATACTACTCATCGGGTTGCTGAAATCTCTTGGATAGCCAATGAACGGTTTCGCCCTTCCTGGAGCTCATCAAGTACACGCACTCTCCTGAGTTTCCATCTGCTTGAACCGAACTTGCACGAATTTCGAATATCAGTTTGGGTTTCACGGAAGATTCACCCGAATCCCAACTGAATCTCCCGTTTAGGATGTTCTTCCTCAAATGAGTGTGTTGCGTCTATGCGATACTGATGTATCGTACAAACTAAAACATAAGGTGGCCTTTGTGCAGCATATTCAGCTGCAGAAGAACATCAACGGACAAGCCAACGACCACCATCTACGCTACCTGAGCTACCAACATTTTCCTTTATAGAACATCATAAGTAATTGCTTCCGTGGGGATTCCGTTGAGGCTCTAGTGGCATGCAGATGAGTGTATTTGTCGGACACACGTGGCTTGTCCACGACATTGGGCTGTACCATAGTTCGTCCGGGGTTAAGCCACACAGTTCAACAGGCATGATGGCATGTGTGACTAGACTCATCAGACTTACCAGTAAAATACAGCAGTCGGTAGGCCTCTTGACCTTAGTCGAAGGTGTACTAGTGTAACTGGTGAGAGGAGCGAGCAGCATCTGTTCACTTTTTAAGGCTCCCTTCGTGCATCTGATGGAAGGATGATATGGAAAGTATCGCACCGCTTTGCCATGCTTGCACACTCAAACAACGCGCCGAAAACTTCAAGAGGACTCTCGAGCATGTTGACATTTGAGAAACTCTGTATGGCTGTGAGACTTGGCCTATTCGAGCAGCGGACCTGAGACGTCTTCAGGTGTTCGACAATCGTTGTCTCAGAGCCATAGCTCGTGTGGGTTGGTGTCGGCGAATCCGTAACGAGGCAGTTAGAAAACGTGTTTTCGGTTGTGTAACGGGTACTTCCATTGGAGAATGTGTCCAGCACCAGAAGCTGCGTTGGTTGGGACATGTTTTACGCATGCCGAACCATCGTTTGCCGAAGAGAGTACTGTTTTCCATGCCCAATTCGGAGTGGCGTAAACAGAGAGGTGGCCAACCCTTGACTTGGCAGAGGAGTATGAAGGAGATCACGAAACGCTTGGGTGCTGTCGGTTCTACTCGCCTTCCAGGATGGGGACCGCGTGATCCTCACTGTGCCTGGTTGGAGACACTACAAGATATGGCTGCCAACTGATGTCAGTGGCGTTCTNGCTTTCAAATAAGTCATGTTTGTGCGGCAGTGAAGCATCGGTGTTGAACACTGATGTCATGCTGTCGATGTCTTGGGGCCTGACAGCTCATGACTGCGCAGCCCGCTGTTTCCTAGATAACAGGCACGCGCCTCAAGGCGCCGTTCTTTTCAGTAGCAGCCGGAGAGCACCCAATCGTGATCGAGCGCTGTTTCTTCGGCTTCGATCGTGCCCGGCGAAGGGGTAAATGCAATCTGCCTGACTAAAGCGTGACGAATGACGGCGCAAGCCTGAGTGACAAAGTGCGTGGGTGGTAGTGTGACAAATGTGTTCATGCAGAGGGTATGCTGCAGCGTTTCTCCTTGTGTCCCGATTGGACGATCAGTTAGGTCGGTTGAACATTACCGGCCACCGGACATCATTGTCCATCACACCCTTGCCATCGATCCATGGTAAGTCGGTGAGTGAATCACATGAATGCCAACGCCAACGGCGACAACAACAACAACAACGACAACATCGTGATTGAATGAAATAGGCTAGGGAACGACGTAAACAACCGGATCGATACACACTACGCTGCAGGCAAACACACGAAACACCGGTGAATTTGCTTATGCTGCAGTAAACGCGGTCAACGAGGGTAGAAAAAGGACAGATACTTATAGTCGTACAGCACTACATGTAAGTTTGCTGAAAATTCTTCGACAGCCCACGACCGGTTTGGCTTCTTTTTTTTGTGTGTGGAGCTCATCAGGTAGGCTCAGTCTCCAAGTTTCCGTCAACCTTGTGTTCTAGTCGAACCCGAAGTTAGCGAAATACACTTATTCGCGAACAAATTTGGCTTTTCGAGAGACTCACCTGGAACCCTGCTGAATCCCTCGTTTGTGATGTTTCCAGGCGACTCAATGTGGTGTACCGGGCCGCCTCATGTCCCACTTGCTATGATATCCGAGATATCGCCATA